GAGGTGTAGGAGAGAGTGTTGTCTGTATTTTTCAGATGAGGGACCAGAACACAAGGGCAATCCTGGTGTTAGACATCAGGCTGTGATAGAGCAAGAACCTGAGTAATTTCTCTTGCACTTCAAGGTTCATGGTGTAAATACTGGGTAAGAAGGGGAAGGAGAGAAGATGACATTTGCAATACAGTCTGGAGAAAATTAAGTGGGAAGAATTCCAGTGAGTGTTGTGCACAGATCCACTCTTCCTTGATACCGTTACATGCATCTCAACTGAATCTTTTTTATTTTCAATAATTTATCAATAATCTAAAACAGCAGATCCTTTGGATGCTTTTCTCCCCCACTTTTTTGTTTTTCCTCGTTAAATAATCCATGGATCATTTGAAGTCTCTTCATTGCTGTCTTCCAGGATTTTCAGTTAATAGGGCTTGTACTGTATGCCTCATTTGGTTAGAATGGAGCTTGAGTTAATCTTCAGGGAGAAAAGGTAGAGGAAATCTGATCAACATGTATGTTAAGTGTTCCAGCCATTCTCTTTCCAGTATGTCTCTTCAGTTGATTAAAAATAAAAGAAAACAGGGAAGGAAGCATTTGTAGCTGACATTTTCTTTGAGTATTAAATTGACTTGGGAATGCAGTTTTAATCTCTCTGAAAATTTTAATTAACATCTTACTATATATATGTTGATGTTTCTTACATATATTATAATATATACTTGTAAATATCATCTGGAAAAATAACTAACAATAAGTAATACTGAATCATAGGTGTAAGTCGTCAGTGGAGAGCTGTATGTTGACAGTGAAGTTTAGACAGGCAAGCATTTGGTTTGTGTCTCTTTTGGTATCTGTTAAATTTCTCCTTTCTCAATATTTCTGTTGGAAGACGTCCAGATTCAGAGTTTAGTTACAGTTCCAAATAATGCTAAGCATAGATTTATTTTAGCTTAAATATAAAAAAGTTACATTGTTAAGGACAAGACCCAAATTTCCTGAGAGTTTAGGGGCTTTGGAAGTTTAGTTTCATCAGGTTCCATTTCTGTACCACTTGGAAGTTTACTCAACTATCATTTGAGCTCCCAGTATTAAAACAAGCTAAAAAGAGATGACTCTATCTGTGCTGTAATATCACGGTTTGATTTTGATAATTGTCATTTCAATGTGCTGTTGTTACAGTGGCAAGTGATTTTTCTTAAAGAAAAACAAAGAATGGCACATATTTCAGTAGATATGCACACTTTCAAAGAAGCTGTTACCCAGCCACAAGGCCTGTCACAAACAGGTCGTGTAATGTCTGCATCAGTACACGGCAATCATGTCATTCCAGCATCCAGTGGTCCTACCGGTCTTGAATGGCCCATCACTTGAATACTGAAAGATGTGTTTCCTACGAGTCCTCCACCCAGTTTTTCTGTACTAAGAAACATCCATACAATCTGTAGCCTGTAGTGCACAGGTGAATAAGCAGCAGCAACAAGAAGCCAGCATACAGGTTGCTGTGTCCCCTGGAATGTCTCACAGAAAGCCAAAATGGTCGCTAACTACATCCAGATCACTCAGAACCACAGGTCAGGCCCAGCTTTATGAAATCACCTTTAAATTTCTTGTTTGGGTTTATGGAGTTGTGCTGTTGTGCTACCACTGCAAATTACCCATGCTATAGAAGAATGGTTTACTCATCAGGTATCTGTCTATCCGCTTTCCATTATACCTTAAAAAATCTTTTAATTAATTTTTAGGGAGGAAAGAGAGCATTTATCCTGATAAACACAGTTAGTTCATTTGTGGGATTTCTTTTTCCTCTCCTTAACACTTTTGACACAGCACAAGTTTGGTTTTTAACATACACAAAAAATCTCTTATATGACTGGAAAAGCATAAAGGGCTTCTCCTTTCCTGAATTTGGTACCAAACACATTTTGTGCTTCCTCTTAATATATTCTTGAAATAGGCATATTCTGAGATCCCAGAATTCATACTCCCCAGCCCTGCCTGTAGACCAGTAATGCAATTACAGGGAATTCTGTTCTAGCTGTGTGCTACAAAATGTTAATTCTTTACATATGCAGAGTCAGGAGCTTGGAATTTATATCTCAAGTAAAACAGTTATGGTCACCTGTTTTCTCTGGATTATAGCAGATTTGGAAAACTGATTATTTTGGACAGTGCTTCCCTGGAATGATGTCCTTGAACTATGTCCTCTTGTATGTAAATGTCTCAAAGAGGAGCTGGTGTTCCTGGGCTCCCTCAAGGCTAGGTTATAGTAAAAAAGATTTGGGAATCTGAATAAGTTTCTCCGTAGATCCACAGATCTTCTGCCAGTCCAGGTCTTCCTACTTAGGCATGGTATACTTTTATGGATATGCATTAGCCCATTATCTCAGATTAGAATTGACCTTTTTTTCCCCCTTGAAATAGCTAATTTGTACCAGAAAATAAAACATTTTTGACTATATAATTTTTCTGCCTTTGAAAATACCTTAGTTACCTTAGCGTACTCTGTCTGTTAGAACTTTATTCTTTTCTTGTAGTACTTTTTAGAAGTCATGAGAATTAGAAGAAAAAGTTTTAGACTGGAACTTTTTATCTTTGAAATGGGTTATCCTCCTTGGGCTTCCTGCCTGTACTCTTTTCGTATCTTGATACAGTTGCTGCCATGGTCCCTCCTGCAGTGACACTCTCCAGTGGTCCAATTGTATTAATCCTGGAACTGCCTCTTCAAAGTAAATTGGATAATCTTTAAGGTTCAGAGATTTATTTCAGCATGCTATTACTGGGCAAACCACTGACCTGATACTTTCCTCAAAGAGAAGAGACTAGGTTCTGTTTCCATCATATATACTTGTTCTGCACGATTTCAGTACATCTGGCTGAAGTCAGTATTTTAGTCTTTATTTCTTTTCTGTCAAACATGTCCAGCAAATTAGGTTTAGTACAGTCCATGCTATTCCCCTTAGAATTTTAATTAGCTCAGTGCTGAATACCCAGTGTAGTGTGATTGTTTATATTTGATTTCTACACAATTATTTGTCAAAACAGAATTGCTGTGATTCCATTAACTTTTGTAATGCATTGCTGTATATCTGCAGGCAAAGCAACATTATGAGGGAAAAAAAACCCCAGATCAAATCCATTCAGATGTCACTATAAAATAGATAAACTCTCAACTGTAGGCTGTGAGTGTGGTCTGTGTGTCATAGGCTTATGCCTGGTCATTTTTTGACTGGTAGAGGGGTAAAAAAAGCATGGTAAATATGAGCTGTTTACTTGATGTCACTTAGGGCTTCATCCAGACGTGTAGCTCTGTGCCTGATATACTTCGTGATGCCAAAGACATAGAAAACTGCACCATAACAAACATTCAAGACCAGGTTGGACAGGGCTCTGAGCAACCTGATCTAGTTAGCAGTGTCCCTGCTCGCTGTGGGGGGGTTGGACTAGATGACCTCTAGGGGTCCCTTCCAACCCAAAACTTTCTATGATTCTATGATTCTATGATAACTACAGTGAAAGTTTTCGTGTCACTTGGAAAGCTGGATGTGTGATTGCAAAGTAGCCACTTCTGGCTTTGTACCACATGCCCTCTGACTTACGCAGTGTCCTGGCGGGCCTGGGATGCGGGCAGGCACACCGTGCTCATGGCAGCCTCCTCTGGGCACCAGCCCCTCGGGGACCGATCTTGCCTCAGGCTGCGGGCACCTCAGCCAGGGATCTGGTTTCTCACTTTTCTCTCTCGCTGTACTCAGTAATGTCCCTACGAATTTCAGCAGTGACTCCCCTGAGTGAGGAGTAGGAGATGATAGAGCCCACCGGGAAGCAATCAATGTGTTGGAGTGCGACTACAGGTGAAAATCACCTAGGGGTGAAATCACCTATAGGCAGCCCTCAGTGTCACACTGCGAGGGACACAGGTCTCATGCTGGTTCCCTTGGACGTGAGAGCTGTTGCATGTTCCCACTTGTTTGAATAACACAGAGGTACCAGGCAGGGCACCTTTATCCCCATTTCTTAAAGGAGTTTGTTATTCCAGTGATGAAAGGGACAAACAGTGTGGAAGTCCTCCCACCAACCGTCTGTCCCAGGGAAGGCTTCTTGGTGATGAAGGGACCGGTGCCTTAGACGTGTCCGAGTCCCCTTCCAAATGAGAAAGGAAAAACTGTAAATGTGGAGAGACCATATGGTGCAATTTGATTGTATGTAGAACAAATGAGGCTTCATCCAAAGTGATTTAATTTTGGATGTGGCTTGCTTTGAGTTTCACTAACTAACGTTTTCCTATACCAGCATTTTACTTGTGCATTCTTTTTATACTAGACATTACAGATACAAGTGTGTAGCACAGGTGCCACTTTTCACTGTAGGTTTTTCAGAAATACAAAACAATTTCTGCAGAATGCCCACTTTTGAAATATTCATAGCTTTGTGTGTATGACATACTGATGGCCAAGTACCGGCTTTGTTTTTGTTCATTCAAAATTTAGTGATACTCTGAAAAAGAGCTGGAGGAGTGAATAGATAACTTTATCAAGTACAAATTCTTGTAGAGGTCCATTGCGCATCTTCCAAATCTCAGGCCAAATTGTTCCCTTATGCAACACCAAGCTCTGAAGTCAGCTCTTCTTTTTCTGCGTCGCCGAGGAGGTGCTGTTAGTACTTGCTGATGAACCTTTGCTCTGCTTAGCTCTTTTTTCCCACCATGTGGGTGGTGATGGAAAGGTATATGTGTTGGGCTTCTGTCACGGTGTGGTACCATGTCAGACTGAAAACCAGCACTGCACAGAATTGCATAATACAGACAGAACTAGCCATGTTTTTTCAAACCTAGAAAATTATTCTTAATAGTGGCAAGTTTCTCTTAGTAGCTAATGAGCACTGAAAAGAACAAGAGGATAGCAGAGTAGCATTGGAAATGGATAGTTAGCACTACAAAGTGGGGTTTTTTTCAGAGTTTCAATGCTGAAGCCTTTAGAAGAGAACACTTACAGATGTTTGATTTCTTTCAGGTCCTCAGATTTTGGGACGTTATACACAAAGTTGAATCTACAGCCTGGGATTGCCACTGTTATTGACAATTTCTACATTTGTCCCACCAACAAAAAAAAGGTATGTGGCAAAAAATGACATTTTGTCGTGCAGCTGAGATTCTGCAGCTATGTGAAATGTGTTTTACAGGTTTTCAAAATACAGGGAAGTGGTTTTCACAAAGTTACAGATCACCTTAGGTGCATTTGTGACGTATGGAAGTGGGATATTTATTCTTCCTGAACAATATAGGAAGGAAAAAAATGCCTTGATGGACTCTGAAAACTTTTAAGGCCGTTGACTCCTGGCAGTTGAGCTTCTGTGGAGTTTTCTGCGGAAATGAAAAAGGAACTCCTGTAGGTTTTCACACATCCACACAAATTCTGGGACTACATTCAACCTCTTCATCCTTTATGCACAAAGTCCTTCGCACGTTCCTTAATATAAAGCATAGGGATTGGGCAGGCTGTCATTGAGAATGATGTTTATCCTGTGTAAAACCTTAAGAAAATAAAAAAAACCCTCTCCTTGAAACTCTTGCTTAAAAAATGTTCCTGCATTATTACTGAACCAAAAAGCTTTTCACGGATCCTAGGAAGATTAAGTGGACTTTGTAAGTGAGAGCGAAATCGACCCATTGAGTGTATTTACAATGGATGTTATATTAGAAGCAACAGGAAGAGTGATTATGAGAAAAAAAACAACAACCACCCTTCTATGTCTGCGAAATGCCTGTGATTTAAACGGCAAGACTTGTGAAATGCATTGTGAATAACACAAGCACAGTAGGTCTTTCATGAAATCAGAATTTTCTCTTGATAAGGGCCTTTTGACTCCAGTGTAATACAGAAGCGTTTATTTCACGCAGAGGCCACTGATTGGCAGGACAATGTTAGTTGTGTTTGTCTGTCTGTTCTGCTTAATCAAAAATCAGTGGAACTCGGGGAGGCTGCCTGGGTGACAAAGCACATATTTTATTTCTCTGGCAATTGTCACTGGAGTCTTTGTGCCCAAGCGATGCCATTCCTGAATTCGGTAATGTATGTTCAATCTCCTGCAGATTATTATTATGCAGAAATTAGTTCTTTGTTTCTTGAAGTGGAGCTACCACCAAGCACAAAGTTTCTGCAGATTGTGTGTCTCAGAGAGAAGATCTACTGGTGATTTCAAGTCAAAAAAAATTAAAAAAAAAAATCTTTGCCCATCTCGGTTTCTGGAATAAAGGCTAAAAGTATGAGATGGATGAGAGCTCTGTGGAAGATTTTTCCCAGCTCGCTCAGCTACAATATAAAAGCCTGCACAAGCACAAGGTGCTCAGTGACAATGTGAATGTGCCAGTTGTCTGGCAAAATAAACAGTGGAAAGATCACTGCAGAATTTCAAGCCTGAAAGACACACCCATGTTCACAAAAAATCTTATTTTAGCTCTGTCTTAGAAAAATCTATGTTCTACTCAAGACAAGTTGGAATTCTTAGAGATACAAACCTACTGAGTAAACTAAGATCATATTGGAATCAATCTGTTACAGAAAGTCCCTTTGAGTCATTAAATACGCTATTTCTATGCTGAGACTTGCTTCTACGAAGATGTTGTTCAATAGTGTACAAACAACAAAAACAACAGAACAGAAAGGGTTTCTAGGGCCTATAAATGATGCCAGAGGGCGATATATCTGTACGTGCACATATACATACATACACACATACACACACAGGGTACAAAAATGGTGAAATCACTGGCGTTAAATTCTGTAGCCAGCAGCATCAACCTGGCCTTGGATGTGTTGCAGTCTCACATGGCAGGTAAGGAGGCAGTCCCCATGTCCTAAGAACTTTGTCAGTCATCATGGCAACTTTTCTGGTGTTGGACATTTGATTAGGACACGAAGGCTACCAGCTGATTTCATGAAACTTATTCAGAAAGATGGAAGAACAGGTCTCCCTATCTGTCCATTTCAGCCCAACTGCAGTAAGGTGGGATAGCACGTTTAGAGCTCTGACTCCATTTTCTGAGCTGAGCAAAAGTCTCAGGGTTTCATTTGTTCCTGATGCTACTAGATTACAGGTCATTATGGTATGGGTTTTCATCAAGCAGTTCAGATTTTTTGAAATGTGCTGAAAATGGAAACTGCTGGAGTGCTGACCACGCGTACTGGAACTGAGCATGCACTTGGAATTTAGAGCATAAGTAGTCCCATGCTACCACTTAGCATTTAGAGTCTGGGAATATGCATGAAAGCAGAGATAAAAGACATTGATGGGGATTTTTTTAATACTTTGCATATTCATGCTTGCATTCTGTTTACCCAGTGTATACCTCATCTGTGGAAGAACTGATACTGCAAATTCAATGCTTATCATTTCCACCTCGATGTCATCAGAGCATTAACCTCTCCTGGTTTTAGCTCTGAGCTATTTAGGTGTGTAGTGAAGCCCTCTCCCTCTGCAGTCAATGGAGAAACATGGGTACCTCTAGGCAGTTCATCCTATTAAAGTCACAGTTCTTTGTAATTCTGAGAGTAAGATGGAATGATCTTGTAGAGGTTCCTATAAATGATTTTGTGACTGTTGTGAGTCTGAATAGAATCTCACTGCAGCTTCCTACAAAGACATACAAAGAGATGGAATAAGATTATTGTTTTGAAATGCAGTTACATAAAATATTTGCTAGAAAGCTCCAGTCTAGTTCTTGGACTGACATTATTTCTTCAGTTTTTCTCTGCCGGTATACCAGCTCCCAGAGTGACTTAGAGCTTCACTCAACATGCCTCCACTCTGTGAGCTGCAATTATACCATTCTGACCAACAGACTTGTTAGTGAGCTTTATACAGCAAGTGTGAAATTGTACTGTAATTTTTCGATCCCTATGAATTGCTCTAGTTTGCACTTTCTTAAGATGGAAGATCCCTACCCTGTTGTTTAAGAAGTTAAAATTCCACAGAATTATAATGCTGTTCATGAAGAAGTGCATTAGCAGATGCAGAGGATATAACAGCAGCCTTTTTACATAGTGCTCCGTGGAAAAGAGATTGAATAAAAAAGAACGAAATTACAAGGTAAACTAGAGGAGTGATAGGGGCTTTGAACTAGATGCTGGAAGGAATTTATAAACCCTACTAAACCTATGCAAAGAAGTTGCACATTCCTTTTCTCTCTTACCCTTCTGTGAACAAGTTGTGATGAGTGCTATTCGTGAGTCTGAGATGAGTCTGGAAGGAGTTGTATCAAGGTCATGCCTACACAATCTTTTGATGATTGAGGTAAATGCATGCAATCTGGGTTTTTTTCTGGCTGAATGCAGCAGAACTGTGATGCAGAAATTGTGTTGCTGCGGTTACCACAGGACTCAAGCTATGAAACCCAGTTTTGACAAGAAATGATGACAAACCTCTGAGGGTAGAGCTTTAGAGGGATTTGTGAATCGCTCTGAATGGGCCTTTGATGAAATCATGGGATGGAGGTGTGAACTGGGGCTGTATTTTTTGTGATTCAGGGCTGAACTGCAGTCAGCCAGCAGCACAAGTAGAAGATATTTGCATCTACCTGCAAAACACCATGTAGGCTCACCCTAAATGCCATGAAACAATAGAGTAATAGGCGAGGTAAGTGTAGTTAAGAGTTCATGCTTTGTAAGGATGCATTAATATTTGCTTTGCATTTTGGCTGCTTTTAGTGTAGAATAAACCTGCAGCCAAAGACACTGAAACTTCTGACATGGTTTTGGAAAGGTATAGAGTAATGAAGGTGAGTTCTCCTAGGTAAGCTCTCTGATGCTAACTTCTCCATTTGAAGCACTTTTTCCTTGATCTGTGATATAAAATAACCTGACTCTACGCAGGCCTTGAAGTGCTGTGCATTGATAAGGGATATTCCTGCACTTGAAACAACAGAACTTATGGAATTATCTACTTTTCAGTAATTACTCTATGCTGATAATATCAAATAATGCAGGCACCTTACCGTGTGGGGGAAATAATTTAATCTGTATCCTCTGTTTTCCAAAACAGCATTATAATTGTGATTTGGAAGTGAAGCACACGATTCATGGAGGATGGAGTTATGCTTTCCATACTGTCAGTCTCAAGTCAGCTGAACAAAGTATTTTTTTTCTGTAGGAGGCAGAAGTTAGCAGAATTCAGCTTCACTGAGCTAAATTATCAACAAAATATTTAACAATTTTATAGGACATATATGCTGTTGGATGTAGAAATTACATATTTACTTTAATTCTCTTTGTGTAGTGTTTCTGGGGAGGAGCTGAATGAAAAGGCTTTCCCCCCACCCCACATGCAGCACGTATTTTAATTTTCCTTGGTGCTAATGCAACTGATGCATCCATCCTTCTCTTTACATGCTTTTGGAAAAGAGGCAGCTAAGCAGTGTATATTCAATCTTTTCATATTAAAAGAAAATAAATGTCGATTGTGCCTACACCGACTTATTAGTTAAATAGGTTGAATACTTACATTTCCCAGCTGTCACAATAACCAGTAGCTGCATATTTTTCCAAACTAAAAGGCTAGATGACAGACATGTCTTCTTGCTTGACAAACCATGCAGAACACTTAAGATAGTAATAAGGATATAGGCTATCCTGTAAAATATTTTAACTCTTGATACTTTAAAATAGTATAAATTACACAGGATTGCAAAAGGGTATTTGCCACAGCTATAAAAGCATTTCCCGAGATGCAATGTTTGTAAGCACTTACAGGTAAATGCAGTTATACAGCATTTTGACATTTGTCTTTCGGAGCAAAACAATTGGTAGTGGAGGTTGTCAAAACACAGCATGACTACATTTACTTGTAAGGAATAATTCTATTCAAGTATCAATTTCCTTAGACACCATTCCAGAGTGTCTGCAAACATACAGAGCAGAATTATTTACACTTTTATTAGCAGAAGTTGTCAACCACAGAATATGCCTTTCAATAACCTGAGTAGTTACTTCAGGAAGGTTTCACTGTGAAATTGCAGAATAGGAATCTATATATCATGATGCATCATGTCTCTACCATGATGCATTCTTTCTTATAAGCAGTGTCACCATTCAGTTTTATTCCAAGCACAAATACAG